CTAGCACTAGGAGAAAACAAGGCCAACCTAGCCCACTTTTTCTCTTAGGAAGTTCTTCAACATATCTTTGAGGCCATCCAAGTTGTTGTTTCCGGAGGGCTCATACATGAAGACGATGTGCGATCAACCAACCTCGAATCCGACGTCAGTGCCCTGGCAACGACACATGAAGAGGCCGATACACGCATTGTACTACATGCTGTGCACTCTGATACCGACATTTGTTTGCTGTTGATCCATCACTTTGACAAAATGACCAGTTCTAAAGTGTGGTTGATGAGTGGCACAGCGAAAGAAAGGAAGTATCTCCCAGTACATGAGATTTGCAAAATTCTTCCTAATGCTCAAAAGAAGAACATCTTGGCGTTCCACGCAGTTACGGGTTACGACTCGACGTCTCACCTTGCAACGATAGCGAAGAAAGCGGCATGGAAAATCTTCAATGGAACGGCTTGCCTACTTCTGGACAACTTAGGACAGTCTCCGCTAACTCCCTCATCAAAGATGAATGCAGAGAAGTTCCTCGTACAGCTCTATAAGGTCGGTAAAGTTTATTCAGGTGTTTCAGCAAGTCCAAAGATTAAGTTATTGTTAAAACGTTTCTATTTCTCTGAACAGATGGCCAAAGATGTATCTAGCGGTGATAAAGCCAGACGTCAGCTTTTCGGTGTTGTAAAAAACCCAGAAGCCTTACCTCCAACAAGCGATGCGCTGCAACTACACCTCTCAAGATGCCATTACCAGGTAAAGAAAGCACGGGAAGCATACTCATACTGTGATCAGTATAACCAGTTGCTTCTCGGTAATTTTAATTTAAAAACATTTCAGATGTAAGTGTGGCAAAATGCTCATCATGCCCGACCGGTGGAAATGGATGCTAAGTCACATGGGTGGAGGCTTCACCAATACGGGTACATTCCCATCCTTATGACCCTTGCGCCCGTCCCCAAAGTCTGCACGGATATTCTCACTTGCAACTGTTCATCCCACTGCCTGACAACAATGTGCATATGCAAGAAGAATGGACTGACTTGCACTAAGTTATGCCACCGCTCTTACCAATGTCTTAACTCGTTAAAAGGGTGATTTATTATCTTTCTTGTATTATTGCCTTCAGCTAACGACACTAGAATTATTTTTTTATTATCTTTATTACAATCCTTCAATAAACAATGTTTGAACTGTGGAATGATCGTTTTCTTCACTTCCTTCAGCGGCCATCTTGGAGCCCATGTACTCCAAACAGTTCAAACTGCAATATACCTAGCATCTGAGAAAACTCCTAAGCAGATGTTTGAATCATTATTACAAGCCAACGGAGAAGGAAAATAAAGGGCAACAGAGTTTTGACCACCATCTTGGCCGCCATTTTGGATACCGGACTTCGAAACAAGCAGATTCGTATTGAGCGGGGTCGATATACCCTTAAAACGTTGTTTCCCTAATAGACCTATCTATTTTACCAGACAAAGAGGTAATAAGACGAAAACTTCATTAAATAAAAAAAGACACAGAACGTTCATTGCGCAAGACGAGGCAAAATGTACCAAATTATGTTAGACTTACGTATAGTCCTTCTTATTTGCACGGGATAAAAAGGGAAGAAGAAAAACCGCGTGTTGTGCAACGTATTTGTCAATGAAAATGTCAAACAACTTTTGAATGACATTTGCCAAGTTGAATATCAACTTTAGATGTCCAGCGTGCAAAACGATCACCTCACACCTGTATTGGCTAGCCAATAAAAAGAAATTGCCTCGTGTTGCGCGCGCATAACAGGTAAAAATACATAGGTCTATTGTTACATGAAATGCTTATTACATTGTTCAATGTTCATTTACGAAAACGTGCCTAGTCTAATACTGGGAATAATGCCTCTTCATCTCTGCGCTTTAAGGGTAGCCGGATTGGTTGCAGTTGAGCGAAATAATTTGGTAAAATATTGTGTGAAGCAAGATGAGGTTATGTGTGGAAAGGCTGTTAGAAGCCAAAATTGATAAAAGGAAAAGATGAGATAATCCTTGAATTAAATGCCAAGGAAGTTCTTTTATAAAGTAACATAAAGTCACTGGAAGAAAAAATACACTTTAATAGCCAAAGCATCGTGCACAGGAATGATGAATCCGTACCGACATATGCGTCCTCAGTAGCATTGGATAGAAAAAATTCTAAAGAAACTGTTGCAAACGAAGTACCAGAGGGGCACGCACAGTGGGTTGCAAGCTCCAACATTACAAAATCGAACTCAGGATCAAAAATGCAAGCATACGAGGTAGACATCACCAGTCGCGATAAACAGAGATAATAGAATTACCCTACATTAGGTAAACACGGCTATAATGCAGGCACAAACTTTAAATAAAATGCAAGAAATACATAATCTTGGTCACCAAGTCCCGGACGCTGAAGAAAGCAGTAATGGATGGCAACAATTTAAACGAAAAAGGGAAGTAAATGAAATACAGACAGTGCCGAAGTATACATCACTGCATGTGACTAGGCTTGTACCAGAAACTCAACCGGAACAGCTGAGAGCATACTTGGTGCAAATTTACCGGAAGTTCAGTGTGAAAAACATGAGGCATCGGCATAGGCAATAGGCATCCCGATCTCTACGACGCAATAAAGGTTACTATAGTGAAATTAATTAAACAGTGTATGCACGTAATCAAAATTAATGACATAAGCACGTCGCAATGTTGCCGCTATCAACTTTCGTTTTACTTTGACATATCTACCATGTCTAGTAAAATTTGTTATCACTAAAGCAAACAAACATTGATTTTTATATGTATAGATAGTGTATTATGAACACAATCTAAAAAAACTACTCACTTTTCGTGGTAAATTTGATTGCGAATAGAGCTAACATCAAGGTGATCTTGATTCGTAACCCGCTTCTTATGTGGACGTTTTTTCTTTGGTGAATTTAACGCTAAATTATCCCTAACTTTTTGAGAGATTTTACATTGGATTTTACTCACAGTGGTTATACCTACCAATATTCAGTGCAGCTGCAACACGCTGAAAAAATATTCCCAATTAAAGCCCCAGAAGATTTAAATTTGATAGTATCAATATACTTCACCTCTCTAACGCTATTTAATGGCAAAAAGGGGCCCCCATTATCTCGTTCCTGTTCAAAGAAACTAATTAGAGACGCAACGAGTTTCTGACTCTGACTATTCAATGACTTTGGCATTTTAAAGATACACAAATTAGGCATTCCAACGACCTGTCAAAAAGTGCGTTGTGGCAGAAGTTCATTATCCCGTATATGAGAGTATGTAATTTAAAGGTTTTTTTTCTCCGAATGACAGTAAAAGCGGCCTTTTAATGACACTTGACAGGATCAAAAGTTGTATTTTTACTGCCTAGGCAGTAAAAGTGGACTTTTACTGCCTAGGCATTAAAAGTGACAGTGTCACAACGTTCCAGGTAATAATTTCACTCAATTTGGTATTTGAAAATGATGGTGACAATGACAATTGTCAAAATAATTTAATTATTTGGATAATAATAATGTGTGAATTTGAACATTCGGAGAAAAAATTATATGTTTTACATGGCAGAAAAGCAGATTTAATGCCTCGGCTGGTTTCCTAGCCTCGGCTATGCCTCGGCTATGAAACATCAGCCGCGGCATTAAATCTTGTACTTTTCTGCCTAGTAAAACAAATAAATATTAAAGTGCATTTTGTGGTTGTTTTCTGAATGAACTCTGTTTATTTTTTTATTTTATTGACTTCATTAGTGTTTCTTCCAATTAAAAATGCCACAAACGGGTCTTGAAGTTGATTGTGGAAGTAGTTTCAACAAGGTAACAAGGATGATGTCAGGCTTTTTTTATTGCCCACCGTTTTAAAATTTTCCAATTAAAACGTGAAAAATTTTCATCACCACTGTTCCTGCATCTGAAATAAAGCCATTTTCGAAATATTCGTAAGAATCTAAGCTTTTGTAGGCCTTAATTTGCTCATTAATGTGAACTGTGGATCAAAATGTCATCTGGACATTTTTTTAAACTAACCGTTCGCCCAGATTCCGATTTTCCTGCAAGACTATTCACTCTGCATTTCAAAAAGTATATTATAACAAAGTAAACTGTAATTAGCTTGAATATATTCCAAATAAACTCAAGATAAACAAACAAACGTCAAATTTTCCAGGTTCGCCATATTGAAAAATCACGTCGTTTGGAGAGCCTAATAGAAATAATTTCAAATTATTGAAATCAGTAACCGCAGATTTGCAGCAATATTTGGCAACATAACCCATGAGTGCCAACATAAATGTCATTTTATCGGCCGATTCGGTTAAATGCCAACAGTGTTCTGTCTTTTTTTTAACTAAGGTTGAATAAAAAGGAGAATGGGCTCTCAGCTTGAAACGAATTTTAATTTCTTACAAACTGTAATTGGCAATAAATTCGACGTTATTGATCACGTGCATACACTATTTAAATAATTTCACTATATGAGACAGGTGGACCTAAAAAATTCATGGAAACGTGATGTCTGGCCCAATAGTTCCTGAAGCAGCGCTTTAATTTCTAGTCGATATTTTGTTTTTTTATTTTTGGAAACTTTTGCTCTATTTTATTGGGGTGGTTTGGCTACACGGGTAGGAGGGCTGAACATCATTTGTATCTTTAGGGCCAGATGAAATGAAGCATGTCCGATCTGAGTGCGTCTGCCCCATTCTTGAAAGTTGCGGGCTTCAGAGGTCAGGCAGAGCTGCACCAAGAAGGGGATAGCATAATGGGCCACATTTCAAATCGATCAAGAGGGATAATCCACTTCAAGAAAATTACCTACCTCTTTCAAAATTCAACTCAAACCATCTACTATATGAATTCGAACATTTCAAAAAGCTATTCTATGTAAGATTATAAAATAAATAGTGGTAGAAACCATCATTTGAGTATTAGTTTCTGGATTCTGGGTAATTAGAAATTGGGTTATTCTAAATCTTCAAATTGTGGAAAACTCTCTACTAACCTGTTCATATTCAATTGATCCAGCACTTTTTGGTGTTTCCATTACTCCAGCTATTTGTAGCGCTTGAGCTGTTATAACTGTAGCCAGCAGGAGCCAAACTGCTTTGTCCAAAATGTAGACCACGAACTAGAATAAAACAAAGATGAAAGAAGGAATCGCTAACATAGATTATATAAATAATCTTAAAATTGATAATATATGAATAAAGCTCATTAGCATAACTTTCTTCTTCGATGGTAAAAAAATACATTTCACGTAACATTTGATGGCGATATTATTCCAAAGTGGAATTATTATTACTTGATTTCAATAATTTTACATTTGTGTGAGAGGGTGAATTTTTGAAATGGAATAAATGTCTGTAAAGCCGAATACTTGAGTCGAAAACTTTTTTAAATGTGACAGTGTAGTATACCTACTGATATATTCCATATTGAGTGTACTCAATACTTAAATACATTTTGTTTGTCGATGCTCTACAACAAAACTATCTCATAACTTCTAACTGCCTAGAGATAGGAATAATATAATGGTATCAAGAAATTCACCTTGCCTAATCCTTTTTAGAGCTGCAGTAAGTACCACGAGTGTACGTGTAAAAGCACACGATTTTCTTTAGAATTAAATGCAGAATGCGGAATAAATAGATTGAAATAGCAACTGGTGATGTAAGAAACAGCAAATATTTTATTGTGTTGGAAGTCCATGGAAAATGGTTATAAATGACGAACCGGAAGAAAGTTTAAAATAGCTACCTACACTTTTGGATTTTTCGATTTTCTGAATATAATGAGCTAAAATGCAATTTATGAAAACCAAAAAGTCTACCTTCTCTTTTGGCTCTAAATGTTATCCAAAAATATTTGATAAAGCTCAGTTTTCAAAGTTTTTAGACTTTCAAAAATTCAAAGTCGTCATTTGGATACAAAGATGGAAACTGTAGGGAGTGAAATGCTCCCTAATATTGTTATGATAGAAACTTTTATGGGAGCAGCACAAGAAAAGCGATGATGGTGTGTGGACAAGAAATTAAAGAATTGAATTGCTTTGGTTGCAACTCAGAAAATTAAAAAACCTAAAGCGATAATGCCATGCATTTGTTCAGGAATCTTGTATTTCCATTTTTTTCGTTTTCCTGATTGAAACTAGATGAATATATGAAACGCCCAGCAAATTTGTTGAGCAGCTATAACTAAAATCAATTGATCTGCTCTTCCAATAAAATGTTTTCATTTGTTCCAAAATATTTACAGAGAAGTACAAAAAAATGGACTACAAGAAAAATATTTTATCGTTCACTTTGAAAATCAAATAGGTATGTAACTATTCATATTAGCATTTTGTTCATCATTTCGATCTCAGACATGCTTTACATTAAGTCACTAACACTCAACTTACCTTACTCATCTTGACACAGAACACTAAAATTAAAAACACTTTCTCAGAAAATGAACGCAAAACAATCAAAAAGTGCGATCTCGATCGTGTAAATTAAATTATCGAGAGATCGATTTAGCACCAAGTTCGTCGATTAAACAAACAAAATGCACCGAGCAAAGTGAAATTATCTCCAGCCGGGTTTCTATGTTATAAGAGTACCCACCAAGATTTTTTTAAATGGTACTATCCCTGGGTTTATATCCGTAATAAGAGAGTTTAGGTGGGACAGTGGCAGCACTTAGCTGCTTTAAACAAGAAAATGACGATTAAATAATAAGTTACCATTAGATTTTTGAGTGTTTCAGATAATTTATGATCACTGTTAAATCAGATATTAAAGTATAACATCTATGAACTTCAAGTAGTTAGGATTATTAGCATATTATGGGTAAATCACACTAGAAATATTGATAGAAGCGGGTATAGGTACCCCAATTAAGAAGGCCCAAATTTTTAGAATCTATGAGTTTTGTCCATTCCAATTGACTAAATGCGTTTTCTTATACACACATGCTTAAAAATTAAGTAACAATTTCCTTAGCCATGCAATTGAAGATTAGTTCCTTACAGTCCAAAACATTGCAAAACTCTTATCGATACGTAACAAACCGGAAGAATATGCGACGTAACGGTAATGATTCCTTTACCAGTAAACGTGTTATTTATTCGCAACATTTTTCCTTTAAATTTGCACCCATTTTTCGCGACTAGTTGCGTAACTTGTACGTTTTCCTACATTCGTAATGTAATGTCAATAACACGTTTAAGGTAGGTATGCGTTATTTATTTCATCTCGAAGAAATGTGAAAGTCTTAGGAATGGAAGAAATGCGTAACATGATCGTGTACCTAGACACCAGAGGCGTAGGATTCAAATTAAAACGTCCAAGATTAATGATTATTAATTGACTATCCGAAGTCTAAATAGGTATATACCAGAGCTTGGTTGAGGAAAAACCGTTATCAGATAATAGGCAAGTAGTTAATTGGGATATTTAATTCACCTTATAACTTTGTAAGCAGTAATAGTACGTTGTAGCTATTTGGATAAAAGAATAGTCACAGAACATTCCAATTGTGATAAATGATTCAATTAACTTGTAACCTCGTCATAAACCATTAGGTATCGTTACAAAGTTGCATAATTACCAAAAAGATGCTTCGATTGGATTTTTTATTACATCTCTTTCAGGCCTGCCCGACTTATTGTCCCCATGTAGCACTGAAGTTTGAGAAGGCTTATCGTGTTCAGCCCGCTTTATTCCAAGCACTAGTTGTTTTGGTGCCCTATACAAGTCTTTTATTGGTTGGTGTTTCATTATTGTTTGTGGGACTACGTTTAAAAGCCCGAAAATGTTGTGACTGTCTTCTGCGATCCAGTACCTCGGAGTTTACCAGGATGTCTGGTTGTATCAAGATGCGTATTGCAGTTAGGTCTCTGTCATACAAGTTTATCATGTTCAGGTGGACCTTTACTGGTAGCCTGTCATAAGGCCTGTTATAGTCCTTAGTCATTTGTAAAAGTTCTGCGGCCCTTTTTCTGCGTAGTTAATCGATGAACTCCCTACCATGATTCCCCACCTAATAAGAATATAATTTTGCTATGTGGGAAGTGTTTCAAATAAAAGTTTTATGGTTGAAATAGAATTTTTTGAAAAAGTCACTTTCACATATACAGGGTATTTCAGAAAAGCGGATCGTTCTCCAACTTTCTTATGTTAAATGGAATACCCTATTGAATATTCGGATTCTTCGTGAAATTCTGAGCAGATTTCATGTGATATACCCTATACCTAAGTTGACAGTTGAAAATTGACTTTTTTGCAACTCTGACAGGCTGCAAAAACCTTAACGGTTAATTTTAGAGCAAAACCGATTATAGATTTTTGTCTTAGATTTTCATCATCACCAGTTGACACCTATGAGAGTTTCAGTTTCAGTTTCTGTTCTCCTATAACTGCACTAGTTTAATCAGCGAAAACACCCAGTAAAAAATTTACCGGTATTAGCAAGTTGAAGTATTTTATTGTTTCATTCAGAGTTTTGAGCGGCGTACTCCATCCTGCGACGTCTAATGCTTTGCTTTCGTGTTCATCAAGACACAGCAAACCTTTCACTGTGCTTGTCAGTCTAGGGTCTGGAACTTTCTCAATTTCTCTTCCCTTTAATTCATAAGTTATGGTCTCAAACAGAAAGGCTCCCATATTATTTGTTACCGAACATGTTTCTGTCGTCCCACCACCTGCTTTATTGTCCTTTGTCCTCCTTGAAGTTGGCTTCAATGTAAAGCTTAGCTTGACTAATGTTCATACAGACATCTGGTTGATAACTACCTCAATCACATCACTGTAGTTGAATGGTTTTGTAAATAGATGATATCTTGAGAAATGGATTCATCCACGCTGACCGGGTGAATTATTTGAAGTTCTTCTAATACGAAAAATATATTTGTGCGATAGAGATTGTAAATGAATCATGCTCTTGTGTGTGAGTGATTGTTTCGTCGTTCTCTGACTAAAGACTGAAAATGGGTTGGAGTATTCACTACTCATATTAATATGTTTTTGGTGTTGTTGATGCTGCTGCTGCTGATTAAAAACTAAAACCATGTTTCTTAAGTTCTAATTTTATAAGGATTCGTTCTCCTTTAAAATGGACAGGTCTTCCTGATCCAAAACATTTATAGTGATGCTATCAATGCTGGTTCTATTCACCGGAAGATAAATCAGATTTCTCAGCTCAATAATTATGCTATATCTTGGATCAACTGTCGGCGTGAATTCGTATATTGTATGTGAAGGATTCTTCGTATAATAAGATCCGGAAATAATATTGCACTCAATTCATATAATAGTTACTTGTATAATCTCAACTGGAATATCTGATTCGTGCAGCGTGTTTGCATCTAGGATGAGTGATGAGAAGCCCAGCAATTAACCAATATTATCTTGAGGCTCAAAGTTTATATCGTGAACACTCTTGAGCTCACCCCTTAAAGTATTATTGTTCGGGTTCAAAGACAGTAAATTATCACTACCACTATTCGCAGCCAATTGATTCAGAAGGTAGCTCTCGATATCAGAAATTTCGTAGGAACCTGTTGGAATTTCGCTCGTCTTTATCACTCAAGTAGTATAGTAAGACTTGTTTCGACCAGACTCAATGCTTGGAATAGAATTCCAGATACTTAAGGAAATTAGGTAGTAGGTACCCAAACAATTGGTGCCAGATGTGGGAATTGCAACAAAAAAAATAACAAAAACCCAAGGATCTATCTTTTGCGAAAACTGTAAATTATGGATCCATCTGAGCTTGACGAAATGGAGTTAAATAAGGTTAAAGGTGATGCAGAAACTCAAATCAAAATTCGTATGTCTGGATTGCGAGAGGAGAACAGAACTTGAAATAGAGGATAGAATAATGGAATCCATACGAGAGCTTAAGCTGGAAGTGACTAATGAGATTAGAGAACTGAAATTGAGCTTGACTTTCTTTGCAGATAAGTATGAGGAGCAAATATTGAAAAATGAAGCTTTTGCTGAATAAATTAAACAATTAAAAAAGCTAAACAAGAAAACCCAACAAGAGTTGAAAAGACTGAAAAACGAAAACACCATCAAGGATCATCAGGCAAGGGCAAATAATGTAGTCATTATTGGCATCTCTAACAGCATTGAAGAGCAAAAATCAAACTCTCAAATCAAACAGAAAGTTAATAAGGTCATTAGCTAAATAGATCCCGAAATAAAGTCCACTGAATACCGAATACATATTGTAAGTAAAGCTAAAGAAAATTCTCCATTGTTGATCTCCTTTCATAAACCACAATGCAAAGAGAGCTTGATGGCTAGAAAGAAGGAAAGGGGAAAAATCCATCAGGGCAGCGAATGCGGACTGGAAAAATCGAATCCGATATATGTGATTGAAGACTTGACCAGAGAGGTGAGAGAGCTGTTTCGTGACGCTCGAAAACTGCGCCGGTATGTTGGATACAAATATGTATAGGTGAAGGCTGGGAATGTATTTGCCAGGAAGAACGGGGACTCAGATGTTATCAAGATCAAACATATTAAAGATGTTGACAAACTTTTAGGGAAGATGAACTCTGGGTGATTCTTGCATCATTTACTATTCATAATAAATGTTAATTAGTTAATAAGTATGGACCTCTATTAATATTCAACGATCCAACAGTGTTTCTTGGCGAAAAGTGTGATGAAGCAATAATATAGGTATGCCATTCCATGTCTAAAACCAAGTTTTTCGCTAGTCTGGTAAAAGATTTTAACCTATTACATATAAATATATGTGGAATAACCACAAATTTTGGTAACTTATTGGTATTTTTGCAATCCTTAGAGACAGAATTTGACATAATAGGTTTGTCGGAAACGCATGTGTTTGAAAATCTAGACCGATTTCAAATTAACAATTATAGTGTCTTCTACAATGGAAGTAAGGTCAACAGGTGTGACGGAACTATAATTTATGCCAAAAATGATCTGGTTACTGATGCTCAAATTATTACTGTTAATCAATCCAAATTTATAAAATTAACTCTCTTAAAAAACTCAATGTTAATTGGGGTCATTGCACATTACCGATTGCCGTCAACCTCCCCAGAGTCTTATCTGCTGGATTTGGAAAATCTATTGTAAAATAATGCTAAAAAATGCGCGGTGGATATTTTTGTGGGCGACACTAACTTGAATCTTCTGGATTCAAAGTCTAGCAGTGTCAATAAGTATATCAGTATTTTAGGTTCTGCTGGATATAAGAACCTTATAAATAAACACACAGGGGTGGACGGGGAAATGAAAAGCTCTATTGATCATATAGCGGCTAGAACTAATGGTCAAAATAATGCAATCCAAAACTCAAATTCTGTAATATTGATAAGCAGCATCTCTGATCACTACTATTCACTTCCCAGTTTTGTTGAATCTACAATTAAAATCCCAAGAAATG